ATATGTCCATCTCCACCTCCATCACCAAGAGATCTGAAGAGGCAATAAGCTCTCTCATGAGATCCAGACTGACTTCCATCAAAAGTTCCTCATTACGCTGGGTCATCAAGTTGTCCAACAGCCACTGGCGGCAAATGGTTCTGAGGTCCTGAAGCCCATAGTTCTCGGCTGAGTAGTAGTAGTTACACACACTCTGGGCACTGACAGTGTCCTTCATGATCTCCCTGCACTGTTGAATTAGCTCGTCCAACTGAAGCATGCTGGCAGTGGCCAGGATGGCAACAACTCGACAGGGAGGGATGATCATGGAATCGCGGTATAAGGAGCCCAAAACTTCATGCAAGGCCTCACGATCAATGTTCTCATCAGGCATCTGTATCTCTATGGTATTCATGTGTGTCTCCCGCCAGGCGCCGCTGAACATGCTAGCAAAGTACCCTGCCTGGCACAGGTAGACCCTGTGTAAGTTCCACTCCTCCCCCAATGCACGGATCTGTATATCGCTGCCCTCACCCCTCAGGAAGAGCGCCTGGTAAATGGACCTGGACTTGTCCTTGATCCTCTCCCTGCGAGGAGCTTTGGCCAGCGGCCCTCCTGGGCTGGTCTTCCGCTTGCGGCCTACCTGACTGGTGGAGAGTTGGGCTTCTTCACCTTCCTCCTCCCCCTGCACCACTGCTGCTTCCATCTCCACTGCCTCCTGCCCATCTCTAACAGCACCTGGCTCCTCTGGGGCACGATCCCGCCTGAGCCACATCATCCGACTGCTTAGTGCCCCCATGGTCTGTGAACCTCAAGGGCCGCGATTGTCCGGGGGGCTGCTGGGAAAACTTACGTCTGCCCCAGCGTCAACACTGACGCCAAGACAAGCCACGCCCCGCTCTGCCCTCAACCCTATTGAACAAGGGCGCACCCTACCAGGGAGGACCACACTGTGCACCTTCCCTTCCAAAATACTTCCTCTGGGGCTCTCTTCACAGGCTGACACTGGAATACAAGCAATTTTGAAATAAATTTCTCCCGTTACTTTCAAGAACACAAGGAGCATTTTCCCATCTAAACACTTAACATCCTTTGGAGAATTGCCTCTGAGTCCCAACTTTGTCCTCCAGGCATCTTCGTTTCTTAGTAACTTTTCCAATTACCTCACCACTTGAGTCAGTGAAGCCATTTTCTATGGTAAAGGTGTTAATTATTTTTTGTCCCAAATTCTACTTTGATTTTTAACTTTTAACAAAACATTTTAATAGTGTTCTCAGCTATAGAGTCTTTTAAACTGCGCGTGTTTCCAAGTCAGATGCTTTGGATTCATGCTTTCATTCTTCACAGACACCCAAACTTCACCTTTGAGGAAGAACTTCAGCTCCGACAATGCCTTCTATGACTTTTTTCCTTCCAACTGTTTGTACATCTTGAGTCAAAGCCTGTAGCCTTTTTCCTGTTGCTTGTCAAATCCTATGCATTACTCAAGGTGTGAGCTCCGGCTCAAACACCTTTCCTCACATTTTCTAAAACTTCTTCAACAACTATACTTCCATAAGGCCTTGATCAACTCTGTATCCCCATACACCAGCAGTTATTTTTTTTT